AATGGCATGAAAAATGCCGTGTTTTATGTTGGAATGCGCATCTTCGCTCAGCAGTTCATGCAGCATGGATGCGCAGCAAGTCCGAGTAGTTCTTTTAAATATAGTCGCCTGGATATTGCTGTTTGTCGCCTTTATTAGGCCACCACCTCAACAAAATCTGTCTCCCTTACAACATCGTCTTTTTGAGAATTTTCACGGGGAAATATTTCGTGGTAGAGATGTGTTTTCTCTTATATCAAGGCAAGCGCACCTCTTCTGGCGGAACACTGCCGAAACTCCTGTGTCGTTTCTCAAACTTGCGAACGATATCCTCCCAACCTTGCAGAACTTAAGATTAGACGGGCAACCCCGTGTACGCCAGAGGAGACTGAAAATAAACGTAGTTAACCAAGTTCTGCTTGTGATGATGTGGTTACGTAAATATTCTTATATAGACACTTTAGCACTGTGGTTTGATATAGACCCTACGTCCGTTATCCGCATTATTTACAGGACGTTACCAGTAATGTGGAGATATTTTCAAAATCAAATCACCTGGCCGAACCTCGCGGAGTGGAGAAATCTAATGGGCAGCTGGCCAGAGTTACCAAATGCCGTCGGTGCTATAGATGCAACCCCGCATGAGATTTATTGCCCTCTGGCGGAGCCACAGCGACCATTTTACAGTGGCCATAGGCACTATCACTGCCTAAACACTCAATTGGTAATGGATAATGAGAGCCATATTCGGTTTCTTCAGGCTGGCTTCTTGGGTAGCACACATGATGCGACTGCTTATAGGCTAATGCAGCCTATAGGGCCCGGTTTAGTCCTAGATTAACCGCCAGGTGTTAAACTGTTGGGCGACAGAGGTTATCCTGATGGAGGAGCTCTACTAACACCTGTTCGTGCAGGTCAGATGCCTCTGTTAAACCAAAGAGGGAGGAGACGTGCCAGAAAGTTCAACCGAGCTCTATCGAAAAGAAGAGTCAAAATAGAGCATGTGTTTAAAGAGATAAAAACTTTTAAAGCTGTATCTCAGATATGGAGACACCCACGTTGGTTGCTGCATATCTGTGTTGAATTAACAATATTTTTGGCTGAAAGACGCATACGGTTGTTCCAAAGACTGCACTGAGAACTACCCATATCCTCTGCACGGTAAAAGTGAAACAAAAGTGTTGATGATAGTGAAAGGAAACTTGAATCGTTGCAGCAAACTTTGGTCTACTCAACAAGCACGTAGTTTAAAACGGATTGACTTTAATTTGCTTAGTAAATGTTTGAAGGACAAACAACGCCTGTTATGTTTCTATTGTACTGAGCTGAAGTTCGGCACAGAGATCGTGTTCATTTGAAAATATCTAAAGAGATTATTTAACAAATCGATAATTAAAACACTTATTTGGTTAGCATACATTTATATGATGTTTGGGGTTTGGAATGGTTAAGTTTTGTGGGAGTGTTTGCAAGGATATATTTCGTTGGAAAACAGCTCATTTGAATATTAGCAAAATTCATTAGCATGTAAAAGTGCGATATACGAATTCGCTCTATTGTGAATGTTATGATGAATACCCTAGAGAATTGTAATATGCAAATAGAGTATATATAAAGGGAAGCGTGGTCCCTCTGTGCCACTTCATTCAAATTAACGGGAAGAGTACAGACGGCTTTGATTTAATTACCGATCCTGCTTGCTCGCCCATTTCTTGGAAGTTCAAGATCAGGTTCCTCTTCGGTTGCCGCCAGGAGATGTAAGACAGGCAGTTCTTCCTGTTGCTGATCCGGGGAGAGAATTTCCTAATGTTGGTCAAAATGAGCCAGGGCAGAACGCTCCACAAACTGCTCAAGAGGTGAACGATAGTAATCTCATTCCTCTTGTGAGCAAGTTCTGGTCTAGTTAGATTCTTGTTGAAAGGCCATCTTGTTATTTTATTCTTCGGAGTTCAGAAGTTTCAGAACTTGGTGTTTTCCCTATCGTTTAGTTTTATTAGTTTG